GTGATAGACATGGGTCTACCTTTAGTTTTCGGCAAATGGAGAGCCAGTTTTTCCAGCACCATTTATTAAAGAGACTGTCGTTCTTCCAGTGAACCTGCTTGGCTCCTTTATCAAAGATAAGGTGGTTGAGTGTGTTTGTAGTTGTGGTTGTATCTTCTAATCTATTCCATTGATCTTTGGCTCTGTTTTGATTCCAATACCATGTTGATTTTACTACTGTTGCTTTGTAGTATAACTTCAAAGGGAAGTCAGGGATTGTGATGCCTCCTGCCTTGCCTTTGCTGCTTAGAATTGCCTTTGCTATTCTAGGTCTCTTCTGCTTCCAGATGAATTTTAGGAGTGATTTATCTATAAGGTATGTTGATGGTATTTTTATTGGGATTGCATTGAATCTGTATAACAGTGTTAGGAGAATGGCCATTTTTACAATGAGCAAGGGATGTTTTTCCATTTTCTGAGATCATCTTCAATTTCTTTTTTCAGTATACTATAATTTTCCTTGTATAGGTGTTTCACTTCTTTCATAAGAGTAATTCCTAAATATTTCAATTTTTGCTTGCTAATGTGAAGAGTTAGGTTTCTTTTATTTCAAAGGGTTATTTTCTAAGTGTACTATTTCTTTTCCATTTATTAGCTAGAGTTCTAGAAGGATAAAATCTCCAAGTACAGTTTATTTATGTCAGTGTTGATTCTTGCTTTTTTAAAAAAAATAGAATTTACTTATTTATGTATTTGCCATTACTTTATTGTAGAACTAAGGACTGAACCCAGGGCTTTCACTGAAAACTGTACCTCTAGCTCCTCTACCTTGGTGTTTTTAGGTTTTTTTGTTTGTTTATTTGTTTTTGTTTTTTATTTTACTTTTTTTGAGATAATCTTAGTTAACTTGCTTTTACTAGGCTTGAACTTGCAGTCCTCCTGCCTTAGGCTCCCAGAGTGTAGAATTACAGGTGTGTTCTACCACAGATGGATTTATTTTTATGCTCAAATTCTTTGATATCTAGTCAATGGGATCTCCTCCAAACTGGCTCCGTTTCCTATTTGATATGTTCTTATTATTTTTATTACCTTTTTGTTTTCTAGCATAAAAAAATGGTAGAAGTTTATCTCACTTTCCCTGACCCATCCCTGAAAATTTCAACTTCTCCAAGAAGCTCTGCTTTTTATTAGTGGAGAATTCATTTCAAAACTAATATATGATCATTGATCATTGCTATTTTTAGGCCTTATAAGAAGACAGAATGGAAAACAGATGATACACATGCATTTATCCATCTATCTGTCTATCTGCCTATCTATCTATCTATCTGTCATCCCATAATAGGTTTTGTATTCTTATTATGTAAGATTTTTCTAATCCAACACTGGAGAGTTCATTCTTATTCTTTCCATAATTATAACCTCAATCTCAGATAGTGAGAAAACTGACACAGCAATCTACAATGCATTTATGTATAACCTCAATTTTGAATGTCCAGAATTGCACTAACCTACAGTAATGTAAAAGGGAAGCCTATTAAGTACAGCTAAATATTTGTTCAAAATTCTTTTTATCTTTAGCCTGTAGACAAAGCAATCGTCACACTTTGTACAAATGTTACTGGATTCAGACTAGTGGTCCTGTTTGACCCAGCTACTCCCTTTCTTTGTATGTCCTGAAAGAATTAAAAGCATCATATCACAATGATACAAGCACATCCATGTTTATAGCAGCACAGTTTGTAGTAGCTAAATCTTGGAAGCAATCCAAATGCCCATCAAGAGATGAATGGATAATAAAACATGGTTTTTGTTTAATGCAATGGAGTATTAGTCAGCAATAAAGAGAAATAAAATTGAGATATTGTAGCTAAATGGATAGACCTTGAGATCTTAATCAAAAGTAAAATAATCAGACATATGTGAAAATATATTGAATTATTTCTCTGATGTGAGAAACAGAAAATGTAAAATAGATATCATCAAATGGAAAACAGGAACTAGGGAGGGGGAGGAAGAAAGGAAAAAAAGGAAAGAAAAAAGTGAAAAAAGAAAGATAAAATAAAAATAAAGCTTCATGAACAGGGAGAGGAAGGGGGTTTGAAGGGAGGAATCAGAATGGAAAGGAAAAACAAGAATCAAGATATATCACATACAAGGTACAAATTTCCTATAATGAATGTGATCATTATGTAACCTAAAATGTACCTGTAAACTCAAATAATCTAAGCCAAAACAAAAGAAAAAATGTTGCTGGATTAATTTCTTGGGGGTAATTATGTTACTTGAAACCTTTATGTTGAAATACTTTTCTGTTCGTGTTTCATTTTAAGATTTATCCTATCCTTAATGATATTGTTATTTTAGGCATATGAAATTCACATATTTCTTAAAATCAGAACTGTTCAAAAAGTTATGTTCAGAAAAGTGTCTTTCTCTCTTCTTACCACAGTTTTTCTATCTTTCCCTTTTTATTCTTATTGCTGTCTACTAGACAAACAATTTCAATAGTCCCTTGTTAATCTGGCTGGTGTTTAATTTTGCACAAATAAGAAGATAGATATACATTTCCTTCTTTCTTACACTAACTTGGCTTAGAAAAACTACAGCTAATACACATTCCTTTGCATTATCAAATAGCATTCTTCTGAGATTTGTGTTTAGTTCATTCTTGCATTTTTTTTTTACCATTTTCTATGTACTCCTGACCCCCTGTGACTACAGGGCTCTTGGAATTGTAAATTCACTGGGGCAAAACTATAAAAAATGAGATGGGTTGATTTTAAAAAGACATCTTTGTGCACTGCTAGACAAATATTCTGAACCAAGAATTTTAGAAGCATCCCTAGGCCCAGCACAGAGAGAAATCATTCAAACCCAAGACTATTGTTCAAGGAGAAATTAGTCTCTTAGCCAGAAGTCTTTTCTGTTAATAGACCCACATGCTTAGAAATAAAATAACCAGGGTCAGGACCAAACAACTTCTGGAAATCTTGTAAATCCTCAGATTTAAAAGAAAAATTAAACAGGTGGTCTTTCTCTACAAGGCTTCCATTGTCAGCTCAGTGTAACTTTGCTTGCCTTGCATCCAGCTTACTCCTCCTGGGAGAGGTCCCTCTGAGAACAAAGGCTTTGGGGACCTGTGCTTTTCCTGGCAGGTGGCAGGAAGCACCTGCTCTGAGTGTTATCTGCAGGCTGCATATCACAGCTGTATTTTCTCAGCTTGCATATGCTAGATTTAGAAGGAAGGAAGGGTGGGAAGAGAAAAGAAGGAGCAATTTCACACCAGGTCATTTATTTTTATTTCTCTCAGGAACTCATAAGCATCAGGAAGGATCTGAGTAGAGTTTATTTCAGTTCACTCAGAAGTTAGCAGGTGTCTTCGGACTGGTAGCACAGTCAAGATTCTCTGCATCTAGCTAGGGTGGACCCACAAACAAACCCCATGGAGGCAATTAACATAAACCATGACTACCTCCTGCCCTGCTTTCCAAACTTTGTCAAAATTCAGAAGACCTGGCTATTACTTCTTGGGAAAGATGTACAACTCATCTCTCACAAGTGATATTAGGTCCTGCTCATATAACAGAGCAATTGTGTAGGAAGTTCTGGCTACACAGAATTTGCTGTTCAGACTATCTGAGGAAACAAACAGAAGATGGGAAATACCCAGACCTCCTCTTTCAGGGATTCATTCTGGGAGAGTTCAATGATCCTGGAATGCCCCTTTTCAGCCAAAGAATCACAGAGTCTATCAAGGAGGAAGCCTCTGTATTTTGAGTCCCAAAGTTTTCCCATTAACCTGGTCATTCTGGGCTTTGTCTGCTTCCCAGGACTCATTTGAGTTACACCATGAATAAGAAAGTGTTTTCTTATTCTTATAGGAGCTCAGACCAGCAGCATAAATAGGTACCTTGTTCCCATATCAGTGATGACAGCCCATAAGCAGCCTCTGCCTTTGGGAGAGCCTTGTTTCTCTAACTGCTGCTCTTGAAGCTGCAGGATACAGTACTGAAAACACTGAATTTAGAAGTATTGCCTCTTTAGCAAATATTGTCTCTGCGAATCTGTACAATTGGGGTCAGTTTACAAAGGGCAAAACCTCAACAAACTTTTCTGAAAAGAGGGGGGCATGATAATAAGATGATCCATCTTCCAAGATTTTGACAAATATTAAGTAAAAGAACATAACTAATGAATGTTTCAGGAAACAAATTGTTCATTAAAAACATTTTCTATCCAAACAATGGAGTCAGGGAAGGGAGAGAGATAGGCAGCAGTCCTCACTTCCAGGAATTCATTGAACACCTATTTTGTGCTGAGCTCAGAAAATACATAGGACAAGTGTGCTGCCCTCTGGTGTCACTACAGTTAAGAAGGGAATAAGTGCAACAAGAAGCACAAATGCAGTGTGACTTGGATATTCAGAGACATCTTCATGGTGAATGTAATGTAAAAGCTGAGCTTCAAAGAGGGACTAAGATCTGATAAGACAAAGAGAGAAAGGAAAGTCTTGTAGACATTTGCTATCATCTTTTAGGTAAACCGGGAGAACACAACCTTGGAATTGTCTTTGCACTCCCATATTAAATGCTTCTCAGAGGCAGCCTTTGATTACATTTTAAACTGCTGTATTTGAAGATGCTGGAGGTGATGGGGAAGATGGAGAAGGCTATCCTGTGCACTGCCCAGAATGAACCTTGATCTGGGCACTGGATTCAATGGAGAAGAGGGTAAAATAGCTCCTCCTAGGATGTGGGGAATGCCATGGATTTGCCATGGGCACTATGGAAAAGATGGGGGGATTGAGAGAGATCATAATTAATAAGCACCTAAGGCTGTGATGGGTTTCCAATGATGGCCTTCTACCAGTAATGTCATCATTGGTGAGCAAGATAAAGGCTTAGACAGTAGCTCAGTCAGAAATCTTATGGATTTGAATACATTGTAGGTAAAAAGCCACTCAAAAGAGAAAAATAAATTCAGATGATTTCATTGTGGGTGTGCTTTGCCTTCTACAGGTGTGTCCCTGGAAGCCATTCTAAAGCTTTTTGGAGAGTATTTCTTTAAATTCTGTAAGAAGTCTGGCTATGACCAGATGCTGCGGACTCTGGGAGGGAATCTCATGGAGTTTCTTGAAAATCTGGATGCCCTCCACAGTTACCTCGCCCTGTCTTATCAGGTAAGGCTGTCAAAGGTGGTCATGATGGTGCAGAGAAGAAGCACATGCTCTGTGCTTTTGGGTGATCTCCTCCTTTCACTTTAAAAGGAGCAGGTCTAAGGCAACCGTTTCCCCTCTGTTGTGCTCCAGAATTTTTGGCCCCTGGAGTCAATGGCCCTCGAGTTATCTTAGAAAAGAAACACCTGTTGGCCACCTTTATAAACTGACTGACAAAAAGTATCAAAGACAGTTCAGCTTTGTTGATGAGAGATGGACTCTTCAATTGGGCCAGCATGGGCTCAAAATGAAATCTAGGAGGCTGATCACAATGGGAACAAAGGCTGGAAAACAGCCAGGTTTCAGTAGATTTTCAAAATCTCTCCTAAGGTTTCCTGGCCTGGATGAAGCTGATAAATAGCTTCTGGAGCCAAATTCATTGTATACAAGTATCAGAAGGAAAGACTTGACAGAACTGAGAGCCAGAATCAGAAATCATCCAATTCTGGTTAACCCACGGGATAACTGACTGAAGCATTAAGAAACTAATTTTCCTGGGATATGTCCTTCTGGAGTTCATGCCTTCTTGTTTTTCTTCTTTGCAGAGTCATTGGAAATTCAGATACCTAGCTTCTTTTCTTTTACAGATAAAAGAAAAGACAAAATAGCATTTACATATCATAGTGATGGTTTATTATTTTATGTAAGATAATTTGTATTTCATTTTAGGGCCTTTTATAGCTTCACTATTTGTATATTTCAAGTTTTTAACAGTAGATGTTATATAGGAAAACCCATATTTGACATAAGGAATCAGAGTTTTCAAAATGTTAATGGATTTTGGGTAGAATGAACTCTTGAGCCTGTTCTGTTGTTGTCATGGGAACTTCTTGAGGATATGAGTGAGGAGAGCCCTGGCTGTAGGGTCTGATGAACTTCTACCACTGACTGCAATTTACAGCTGTGTAATCCCGGACAAGCTGGTTGTATGTTAAAGGTGCAGAGGAAGAGAGACCTCCTGGGAAAGCTCTGTCTAAGCAATCATGGTTGTTTATTTGCTCCTGTGGGAGCAGGCTGAATTTGGAGAGCAGAATCAGCAAGAAGTGAAGGTAGCATACAGGATTTAACAGGAAGGGAAGGAGTTTGGAATTTGGGGCCAGAGATAGTGTGCTTCTCTAATCAGGCAGGACAAAGGTGAGTGTGGTCATGTTTCTCGAAATAGGTGCTTCTGAACTTCAGGTTTTTAACCTTTCTTATTTAACACATATTTATCAAATGCCTACTGTTTATTAAGTACTTTTTAAAACAATGTACACAGAGACAAAAAGGAATAATAGCAGAAAAATAACTTACCTCATAGCAATGTGTGGATTAAAGGAGGCCAAATTTAAAGGTCCTTGGCATTGTATAGGCATTCCTATGAACAATAACTCTTCTTCTTTTCTTTTTCTCTTTGTTCACTATGACAAATTTTAACACTGCAAGAATTTGCATAGCAACCTCTTGTAAAAGTTTTTGCAAAAAGCATGACAATACATGTAGTTCCTTTAATATACTTCCATCATATTTTAAAATATCAAATGCTTCACTTGAAATTTGGTTAATACATTGATTTATAGTTCTGGGTAAATTACTAATAGTCTTCTGTTCATTTATGAACTAAAAGACATTATGGAATGTCTTTCATGTTCAGATATTGTTGTCATATTACTATTAACCTTATGAACAAGAGGGGAAGGAATTGAGTGTCTGAAATCCCAAGTCCATTATTTTTATACTCAGTCCTACTACCCTTATCCCGACAGTCACCCCCAACACATACTACATGCCAAGACCAACTTGTTAGAGAAGCAGTAGAATAGAACCTGTTTGGTGATTTGTGAGAACATTTTGAATATTAATGAGATAGATAAAATATGTAAATGTTTTAGTAGTTGGAATAAAATCTATGCAATAGTATTTAATGACTATATCAAGTACTATATATTAGACAAAATATTGTAGATTGTCTCTTTAGGCAAGAATAAAATAAGGTAAATAAGATAATGCTGATTTTCCATAAAGCGCGCACTCTTGATTATAACCATGCTTTTAATCTTGTTTTTTAAGCTCAATTTTATTACTTGCTAATTATGAGAAACAGATTTTATGCTGAATAATTTATGTATGTTGCTGTATGCTCTTTATATCCTTAAAATTAGGGAGTCATATTTTCCTTTGTATACATATAGGAAAATTGAGGTCCAGAAAGGTCAAATATGGACAGATGTGGTGGCACACACCTGTAATCTCAGCATTTGGGAGGCTGAGACAGGAGTATTTCTGCAAGTTTGAGACCTACCTGGACTACATAGCAAGACCTTGTCTCAAAAAACAGGAGAAATAGAAAGTTCAAACATCTGTAGTAAATCACTCATGTTTTGGTTGGCTGCGTGAGAGCCCAGATTCAGGAGTGATTGTCTCCAAAGAGAAAAACACTCTTTGTTTTGGGATGCTTGTTATTATTTTTATTTTCTTTCATTCTCGACTTTCAAAAAATCACCACTTTAATCAATAAATACATGTATAACTGTATTATTTAGAGGCTGGGTGAAGTAAAAGCAAGAATTTCTAGGAGTGTCTTTCAAAAGAGTCTGGGAGGGATTTGGGGCCTAAGCAGGGATGAGCCGGAGTGAGTGGATCTTCATTCTCACCTCTGTACTCTGGTGTTTGATTTTTATATGGAACTTCTGGACAGATTTTTTAATTAACTTTTATTTCCCCTTTTACCATATATGTTTTATACATGCTTCCTCAAATTCTCTTTAAATTTAATCAAGATATAAACATATACATCAATCCTCCATCATGAACTGGAAAAGAAAACTACTTTCTTAAACTTTTCTTTCATTCAAACTGAAAGCTGTGTTTACAGGATGCTGATTCATCCATGAATCAAGCAGAAGACAACATGACTTCTCTCAGAGAATCTACTGGGCAATGTTTTTTTTTCCTTTTCTAACCTACATCTCGTTGATGGGGAGAGGGGGTGTATTTGAAAGTCAACACTTAATCCTGAAGCAAGAGGGTTTCTTGGAGATACTTTTTACCAAATGTATAACTTGATACCATAGATAGTAATTTGCTCTTTTCAGAACAAGGAATTTATCAATATACCCCCTGTTGTAGTACAGGGGTAGTACACAGTGAACAATTAAGATCAAGATGAGGAGTTTATAATATTATTTCTATAATGGTCACCAGGAGTTAACACAGGAAAATGCAGGAAATCTATCTGCAACACCAAAGACATAGATTATTTAGTCAAGAGCCTAAACCCCACAGCAATGTCCCACATGAGTCCAGATAAAAATCCAGAGCTCAGGACAATGCCTCCATGAGTCCAACTGGAGTTCCAGAGCCCACAAGGAAGGACTCTTTTTTGGATCTGTGCCGGGAAGACACAAGGGTCAGCGGTGGAAGCCAGAACGTCTATGCCAGCAGGATGAAGGAGCTGTGCTAGTGGGCTGAGGGTTCTACGCTGGAGCTGAGAAGTCACACTCACAACAAAGACCAGGGTTGTCCTGAAAGGCACCACAGCCGTCCTCAACCACACGGAGGCCCTGAGATCCTCTGACGACAAGCACAGTTGGGCACATGCCAGGAAGCAGAGTTTATACTGGAGACCAAGCAGCACATGTTTTCCCCTCTGGAGCCAGGAAGCAATGCTCGATGTGAGGACCAAAGTTTCTCCAGGAGAACCAACAGCTCAGACAGCAACTCGTAGGAAAACCCATAATGCCTCCTTAACCCCTCAACCCTCACCACACCTCCCTTCTTCTCCACCTATTTATCCTGGCAACTTTCCTCAGGTGGAGCATCTTCGCTCAATGCCATGCTGATGTAATCCAGCTGGTGTTAAGTTGACCACCAGTTCTTAATCCATAACAACCCCCTTGAAGATTCTTTTGAGCCCACGATCTCTCTGTGAATGAATGTGCTCATGGTCACTTGTCGTAGGACAAAAATTGAAGAAACTCACTGAAGTTTCCTCTGACTTCCACTCTTCTTTGGGGTGTGGGTGGATGTAGCATGGCATAGTGCAAAGGCTCATTCCAGGGGTCAATCATTGTTCCACCATTAGTCTCGCTTTAATTTCCCTGAGCCCCAGGCTTTTCCTCTTTAAAACGGAGACAATACTTGTTCTATGGAGGTATTTGGGGAATTAGGAACAGAGTAAATCTCTTGATATGTAGAAGCTGAAACCATAGTAGGTGTTATGTTACTGGAGAAAGTTTTGAGCTATGATTTTATTGCTATAGTGGATACGTGCTATTGTTTCATAAGATCTTAAATTTAAACAGTTTGCATTCACTGGAAACATCTTTTTAAAGTTTTTTTAACATTAGGAGATGAATGCACCATCATTTCGTGTTGAAAAAGGAAAAGATGGGGAAATGCTTCTCCATTACTACTCAGACAGAAGTGGTCTCTGCCATATTGTTCCAGGTATGAAATGCCTTCAGTGTCTCAGAGCTCTGAGGCCCCTGGAGTGGGGAGGGCTTCCTTATGATTCTTCTGGAGGGTGAAACCCTGACAGCGGGGAGGGAGCTCTTACATACAAGTCCAAACTGTCTTCATCATGACTTTCAAAGTCTTTAAGATTTTAAAGCGTTCAAAATACCAAAAGAAGGGATAACTTTTAATTTTCTTTTATCATTTTAAATTATGTAGGTGTTTACATAATCATGATAATTCCATAAATATTATTTTGTATCAAATGTTTTAGCTAGCATTATAAAAAGTATGCTTAAATGTTTTCATAATCTCTAAAAATCACATCTTAAATGAATGCATGAGATTGCATATTATAAATGTCTTAACTATTTCCTTATTTTGCATTTTAGTTGGTATTATTATTTTACTATTTTAAACAGTACTGGGATGAACATCCTCATATATCCTTCTCTACATTTTATATTTTAATCCTGAGATAAATTTCCAGAGGAAATTATAAACATGATCCTTATTGCTTTTACAACTGAATTTTGCTTACATTATTTCCATTTGGTCTGTTCAATGATTTAAATGACTTCCAGAAAAACATCAGCAACATCAGATCTTGAAATAGAAATAAGAATGGCTGGGATGAATTTGGTATCCATACATGCCTAATTTAAATCTCTACACAATTTTTACTTCATTAATCTGTCATGTGATGCTTGTTTTGAGGCAGAGTCTAAGTTTGGATAACCCTGAAAAGTCTATCAGAAATATTAAATTAATTTTTAAATGATTTTATGACACACTACCTTCGTCTATCCCTTACCAAGAGGTGTGTCCTCTTGCTCCAGGTATCATCGAGACTGTGGCTAAGGACTTCTTTGACACTGAAGTAACCATGGATATCCTTGACTTGAATGAAGAAGTGGAGAGGACAGGGAAAAAAGAGCATGCTGTATTTCTGATTACACAGAAGTCTCACAGGCAGATGAGAAGTGCAAATCCAATCAGGTTACAAGATTGTGAGGACATCCAGAGAGATCACAAGGTACTAAGTTTGCTATGTCTTCAGAAAACACAGTTTCCCAAGGCAGAATTAATTGGTCTAGGCAAACAATATAATCATAGTGGAGTTGAGGCAGGATTTCTTAATTTCTGAATTACTAACCTTTTGGACAAGGTAATTCTTTGTTGTTATGGACTAAATTTGCATTACAATATGTGTAGCAGCCTCCCAGGTCTTTAGATTCTCGTAGGACTCTGCTTCCTTAGTTGTGGCAACCAAAACTATTTCCTGGAATTGTCAATATCCCAATATCTGGATAGGAGTGAAATCACTTGTAGTTTAGCACTGCTGGGTTGGTGTGCATTTGTTATACTCTGGAGACCCTCTGGGCTATACTTTAACCTGGTGAAATATTTACTTGTAAAACCACCAGTATAAAATGTTTGAAATTTGGACCTGGTGTCTTATTTCACAATCTCCCCTGAAATAAATTGGCCTGTTACATATCCAGTGCCCACGCGCAGCTGCAAATCAGTCATGGGTCCAAGCATAGAATCCAAAATTCTATGCTTGGCTACCTCACAGGGTGCCTGCAGTCCCAGTTTAGATCCCACACATGTCAGAGGAACAGCTTTCTGTGTCACGTAGCCTGTAAAATCATAGATATGCCTGTGATTCCTGGAACAGGGTATATTTGTCTGGGAGCATGCAGCAGCTATCTTAGGTTCTATTTACGGCTGCATCTGCAACCACTGAAAGATGTTCATGTGTAATTTTCCTGCCAGATAGCACCCTAGACCAGTGTGGGGAACATATAGCATGCGTGAGGCAGCAGGCTGTTATCATTGGGAGCTTAGAAAGGTTCACCATCACTGCCCTAGGCTGTTCTTGAGATTTTATGAAATGGTCCTGCTCCTTTGGTAGAGAAATGGCATGAAGATTAATTAGACAAAAAGTCTTGGGATTTCAGGCTCTTGATCTCTCTAGTCACAGACACTGTTCCACATGGAAAGATGGCCCAGTCGCAGCAGACAAAGTTGGTGCTTTGGCAGTCATGTGACCAGATACCTTGTTTCTCTCTTTTTTGCAGGACCTTGAGGCAGCATTCCTGAGGATGAAGGAGAAGTATTTGAGGATCTCTGTTTGTCCTGGGAAGAAATCTCACTGGGACACTGTGAGGAATATAATCATGTTTGGAAAAGGTAGATGCACTGTGGTCCCATTGTCTTGGAAAGACCGCCTGGTTTTCAATGGAAGTAGCCCCAGTATGTAAAGCAAAAGTCAGCATGATTGTGATACCCTGCTTTCTTTAGAGCCAGGATTTGGCATTCTTGATCTCTAACTTTAAAATGTCAGGTCCTAACTCTCATTTGCTGGACCCTTCTGTTTGTATGAGTCAGATGGAGGCACTCTCTCCTGTAATCGGAGAACACCACCAGAAAAAGGACTGGAATCATTTCCAACTGGGAACTGAAGAAAACAAGGAGGATGGGTATTGGTGTATTATCAAGGACTAGGGATTTTCTATAGCTCATCTTTTGGATCCAGGCCTTCCCAACTGGGAAGCATTTCTGGACTAGAAAGCTGTGGATAATAACCATGCTCATCCAGTAGTATGAAAAACTAGATCAAAAGCCAAGTAAGTAGATTTCTGGCCTTTGTCCCTGAGGAGCTGTGTGACCTTAAACAAGGTCCTTTAACTTTCCACTTGCAAAATAAATGCCAGAGGCTGTCTATGGCATCCCTATGGCATTGAGGTGGTCTAACAACTGGTACCTATCATCTGAGTGGGAATAAGGGCTCTGATTCACTGGAAGAAGGGAGCTAGATACTCCTCCCATGGCCTGATGGGTCAGATGACATGCATCTGGGAGAAGGTCTGCAAAGCTCAAAGAGCTGCATTTTGAGTCCTTCAAGCTGTAGCAAATGAGTCAAACACGCAATTGACATCCTTTGTCTAGGAGATTTTCATATCAAAAAGGCTCCATTTCGAATCTCTGCCCCCTGCCAAATAGGACTGTTGGTTAAATTTTCATGTGCCACCCAAAACTGTCAGTCTAAAAAGCTCCATGGCAAATGTCCCTGATGCTGGGCCCAATGCACATGCTCTGCTCTGCTGGCTCATTGTCTGGCTGTCACCATTTCAATGCAGTCTCTGTTTTCATGAAGAGACGTACTCAATTGGCCCAGAAACTCTTCAGCGGCGGGCAGAAACTTGGCAGGGGGCAGGAGGGCTTCTCAACCTGGTAGCAAGTTTTCTGTTTGTTTTAATTTGGAAGAAGAATTGCCGTGGCCATCTGGAGCTGCTGAGGACCCCAGGCTAAAGAGCAGGGATCATACTTTGCCTGTGAAATACTTAAGATTCTATCCCTGTCCCAAGGTTGGCTCTAGGTGAGGGCCACAACAGGAGCTGCCTCTCACAAGAGAGCTCTCTCTTTCTGTGTCCAGGGCACCTCAGCTATGCCTTCAAGCCTGTTTATCCTGAGACACTCTGGATGGAAGTGAAGACATTCTGCACTGCTTTTCCTTTCCACATTGTCTTTGATGAAGCAGTAAGAAGCCCTTTTACTTTGGAGCTTGGAGTTGGAGATAAGCCAGGGAAGGAGAAATGTTCTATAGTTTTTTAAGTCCCTGAGAAATTTTCAAGCCTTAGGGAACTACACTGTAGCCCAGAAGCACCACTGACTTCATTTCATAGTGTAGAATCTTCTGGAAAAAATGTGGGATCTGCCTGGTAGATAGAAAAGGAGGTTTGATCTAATAAATAAACAGGAATGTTTCCCAGTAGAGAAAAAGAAAAAGAGAGTGAAGCTGAGATTTACTACACCTAGAAGCATCAGAATGTGGTCATAGTAGTGGTTGGGTGGAATGTTAAGCCTGACCTCCCGCCATCCTTGTGACCACCAGGAAGAATGCCTGGATCCCACCATACTTCTCATCCTGGGTCCTGTGAGGAGAGGTCCGGGCTCCTGCCATGGTCTGTGTGGGCTGTGAGAGGATTAAATTTGAAGGTTATTGATTTTTCCAGATAAAATATATCTGAACTAGATTGTTTATGTATTCATTGAAAGAACAAGTGAACAAAATGAAAGTTTTCAAAAGAACTTAAAGCACCATTAGCTATTACATTTTTCTCTAATGTTTATTTGGACTCATGAATGTATTAAATCATCACCTATCCAATGACAGCTAATACAGAGCCTGTGAAATTTATTCATTTAAGGGTGATGTCCACTCAAAAAGAGATTAAGATTTCACTGAAGTAAATGAACATCCTTATATGGTACAACTAGGAATTATCATATAATTACCATATAATTTCCTAATCCCACAAAGGTATTATTATTATTGTCATCATTTTACAGTTAATATTTTTTATTTTAAAAAGCAAAATAGAAAAAAGGATCGAATTAATACAGAATTTCAAAAAATAGTAAGAAATCAATACTAGAAAATATATTGCATATTGTTATTTTAGAAGTAGTTATTCAGGTTATAAGATCTAGGCATAAAAATGATCAAATAATCAAACAATGACAGCATAAAATGTTCTTTTTGATGAACTAACAGAGATTAGTAGTATAGGTATCTAAATACTAATAATAAAAACTGAAAGTAATAAGATCCAAAGTATACAATAGATACTGTAATAATGAAAGAGAAAGAAAATATACTATTAATATTTTAAATTATGCTTACTTTAAAAACTTTCTTTCAAATTTTAGGTATAGATTAATAGAAAATATATTGGTATTTACAGACGTCAAAAGATGAAATTGATTTCTATAGCCTGTCAGACTCTCATGGTCGGTACAGTTCAGTATTCTTGGATGTTACACTGGCATTTGACATTATATGGCAAGGATTCCCATTTCTTTTCTTTCTTTTTTTTTTTTTTTTAAATTTTACTTAAAGAGAAAAACAAAACAGAAAAGGGGTAGAAATAATACATAATTTCAAAAAAATAAGTAGTAAGAAATCACTAGTTGATAAATTACATATTATCCTCTTAGAAATAGTTGTTCAAGTTACAAAAGTAAAGCATACAAAGTAGACATTCAAACAGTGAGACTGCAAACATTTCTGTTCAAGGATCCAACAAAACTTTCTTCTGTTTTTATGTGGAGATAGTGGAGAATCCCCTTTCCTCTTTAAAGGACTCCTGCACCCATTCCTGGATACCAGATTCAGTACTGCAGAATTGGCTAGTTTCTTTATTAGCTGAGAGACAAAGACAGAAATTGAGGCTATAGAGAAACAGAGACAGAGACCCAGAAAGGTTTTAGAGTGGTAAAAAAGAACTGTGACTCCACTGAGGCCTTTAACATCTTTACTAGTCAGAAATATGCTCCTGAGTATGCCTATACTATTATTTTCCCCTTTTGACATTAACTGCAGATATAATTGCCTTAAAAAGTTATTACTTACATGATGTTTATTTCATTATTGACCCTCTGTCTTCCCAGTGAGTCACAAAGCATAGCCAAAATAGTATTCTAAAGGAAAGTTTATGGTGGAGGTGGCTTTGTGTCCCCCAGTCTGACATCTGTCTTCTGTGGATAGTTAAGGGTCAAGCAAGCTGGAGTGAATATTCAGAAGTATGTTCCAGGACTCCAGATTCAGAAGATTCAATTAGATGAATATTTCTCCATCATTCATCCTCAAGTTACCTTCAACATTGCCAGCATCTGCAAATTTATCAACAGTCAATTTGTCCTGAAGACACGAAACAAAGTGATGCCTGAAGCATGGAAAAATCAGCCTACACTCAAACTTCGAGGTAGTAACTCGCTCCTACCCTTTTCTCCCTGCCTGTTTGAGAGGTTGATCTGGAAGAAAAGAGGCACAGTTTTCCAATTTCCTAAATACTGGGGGCAGCAACTACACTGAGAGCAGGATGTTTTCTGACATTTCCACTTGGCTTGGTACATTTTATTTCTTGAACCACTTCTGGTTTAGACATAAATGGATCACTCACATGCATTAAGTATATTCACAACTTGTACAACCTTTGCCACCATCCCATTTCCAGAAATAGTTTTTCATCATTTGTAAAACTGAAACTCTATACCCATGGAACAATAACTTCGCATTCTTCTTTTCTCTGTTTTCTGGCAATTTTCATTGTATTTTCTGTCCCTGAAATTTTGGCTACTCTAGGTACTTCTTATAAGTGGAATCCTTATGAATATTTTTTCTTTGTAGCCGACTCATTTCACTTAATGTAGTGTGCTAGAGGTTCATATGCATTGTACCATGTGTCAGAATATCCTTCCCTTTCAAAGTAGCATAATATATTGATGCATATACATTTTATTTATTCATTCATTTATTGATGGATACTTAGGCTAATTCTACTATTTGGCTAATGTGAACAACTACTGTGCGTGTAAATGTCTCTCAGAGTCTTTGCTTTTAGTTGTTTTGAGTATATCTAGAAGTGGAATTGCTGAGCCATATGATAATTCTTTTTTTAATTTATTGAGAAAGTGCCATATGTGTTTTTCATAGCTGCTGAACCATTTTCCATTTCAATCAACAATGTACAAGGGTTTCAACATCTCTATATCCTCATAAACACTATTTTCTGTTTTTTATTAATACTCATGATAACGAGTGTGACATGGCTTTGATTTGCATTGTCCTTTTTTTATTTTGAAGAGTAAAACCAAATGAAATAAAACAGAATAGATCAATCAAAAGAAAACAATTAATATGATACAAAATTTCAAAACAAGATAAAAGGAAATCAACAATGGCTACCATAATGCCTTTTGCTATCTTCAGATATCAGACATAATAAAATCAAACAAAACAGAACTGAATAAAACCAATTAAAACAAAACAATGAGAGCAATATAGGACTTCAAAACAAGATAATAGAAAGTCAACAATGACTACCATAATATATTTTGACTTGCATTGTGCTAATGATTAGTGACTTTGAGCATCATTTCATCTTCTTGGTCATATCTACAGATTCTTTGGAGAAATGTCTATTTGAGTCTTTTCTCTATGATCTACCTGTTTTTTTCCTTTTTTCCTTGGTGTGTGTGTGTGTGTGTGTGTGTGTGTGTGTGTGTGTGTGTGTGTGTGGTTGAGTTGTAGGAGTTCTTCACATACTCTGGATATTAACTCCTTATCAGATATATGATTTGCAAATATTTTCTCCCATTCAATGGGTTGCCTTTTTACTCTGTTTGTGGTAATCTTTTATACATAGGAGTTTCTTATTTTAAAGTAGTCTGTTTTATCCAATTTTTTCTTTCTGCCTATGCTTTTTTCATAGCCAAGAAATTATTACCACATCTAATGTCACTTTTTCTCTACATTTTCTTAGAGCTTCTCAAGAGTCTTATATAGTTAGCTCTTACATTTAAGTCTTTGGTTCATTTTGAGACCATTTTTGTATATGGTATGAAGGGGCTTATATTTTGAGCTGACTTTCTGGCAGACTGATGATTAGGTATACTAGACATACATACATGCAGAGCTGTGGAGGCAAGCAGGAGGAAAATCTTGGATTGTGAAAGCCTAAGTTAATTGTAGAGTGGAGGGAAGGGCCCTGAGGCTGGGGAGACATGGCTGGAACTCTATCAGGCAGTTGGAAATATTTTTAAAGGCTTCCCCTGATCAGATTTGAAGTTTAGAGCGACCTCTTGGGGTGCTGGTGAAAGAGGAAGGTTGTATAGAAAATGGATCTTGGGAGGCCAAGTGGAGGCCATGCTAGAATGTCGGTGAGAGCATTAAGAAAAGGAAAGGATTCAGGAAAGTGGCACTGGGGTGGCAATAGGAAATCAGGTTCATAGCTAAGCAGAGGAAAGTGTTTGGATGTGGGAATTGAAAGAGAATAGTTCAGATATCTATGCTATCCTTGCTTGGTTCATTGGGAGGGAAAATGTGATTAACTGAAAAAGACACGATCTAAAGTTCTTGAGATAAGACTTACAGCGCTGTTAGTCTGAGTCATTGCTATATGCTAAAAATACCATGGCTGACTCAGAGTAGGGATTAAATACTTATGTGATGAAACAATTAATGAGGAAAGAAAAGAGGAGATGAAAGATGATTCAATTGCAGGCATCAATAAGTAAATACACAGTAGGGAACAAAGATTAAAAGACCAAGTTAAGAATTCTGTTGACGGAAGTATAAATTCTTACAATCATTCTAGGGAGCAATTTGGCAATATGTGTCAACACTAAAAATTAGCATTATAGTTTCCTAAGTCATTCCATGTCTAAGAATATATTCTTTAACAAAATAGCCTCAGTTATCCTCAAAGAATTATTTCAAGCGTGCTCATTACAATGTCATTTCTAGAATGATAAGCTACATATGATGTAATCAATACTAACTTTCTTCCTTAAATAAAATGCAGCCTAATAAACATGGCAGAAATTAGATTCATGTCTCTATTGAATACTATGGAAGAAACTCTTTCCTATACTTTTATGTAAAAAATTTAGATAATGAAAAGATACAGATAGTTGCATTTTTGGTAATGAAAATTTTTTTCCAAAATATTAACTAACAGTAATTGTGTATGTGATATGATAATGAATGATTTTCATTATTCTCTTTCATTTTTATTTTTTCTCCAATGAATATATATTGCTCTATTGTAAGTTAACAAACATTTATTTTTGAGGAAATATACATCTAACCCAGGAAGCAAAGCTTTTCTGGAAATTCAGTTTCATGGTCAGCATAGTAAAGGACAAATTAAGCTAGAAAAAATACCAAGGAAAATCCAGAATTCTAAAATTTAAGCAATGAGATTTAAAATGAAATCATAAAGAAAAAATTCAAAGAATTAGAGGGATTTTCAGAGCAAATGCTGTCAGAATGCCCTGGGAAGATTTCAAGGAGGATCAGGTTAATCTGATCAAGAGCAGTAAGGCTGGGTAAAGGTAAGACTTGTTTTGGAGTCCCTAATTGGAAGCCTTCTTAAAATCAGGAAACCACCACAGATCTGTTGTGCAGAGTAACTGGAGACAGAACGTATAGATAATTCCCATCATCCTTGGCTGACAGGGAGAGAGTGCAACTGCGCAGGCCAAAAGGCACGCTGTGTGGGTGATCCACGGTTCTCTAGTGAGTCCATTTCACCCCATCTTGGTGAAAGACTATATTGTTTCTTTTTTTCTGTATGATGGGAAGGCCAGATGATCTGGATGGAGTCCCTGCAGTGCATGATTTTCATGTGCTCACCCAAGCTCCGCAGCCTGCAGGAGCTGGAGGAGTACAAGATGCATCTCTCAGATATCGCTCCCCATGACACTACCAGGGATCTCATCCTCCTTAACCAGCAGAGGCTGGCCGAGATGGAGCTGTCCAACCAGCTGGAGAGGAAAAAGGAGGAGCTGCGTGTTCTCTCCAGTCACTTGGCTATCGAAAAGAAGAAGACAGAGACCCTGCTGTATGCCATGCTGCCTGAACATGTAGCAAACCAGCTGAAAGAGGGCAAAAAGGTGGCAGCAGGTAAGGCATGCCTTCCTTGCCCAGGCACCTATAAGCAGAAGGCAGTGTAGTGTGCTTTGAACCAGGCAAATCTGTCATTGAGTTCTGGCCCCATCACTTGTAAGTGGCACCACCTTGGGTTAACTGCTTAACCAGTGTTTTCAGTTTCTCCTCTCTACGTTGAGAATTATATAAATAACACAGCAGTAAAATATGGATTCTCAATAATATGCAGACAGACACACATACACACACACATCATTGCTCAGTGATCAAGAATATGGTCATTAACTTTCACTGGAAATAGCACACCCACAATTAGCTATGAAGTCAGATGGTGTCTCAGAGGACCATTCTGGTGTTGTTTACTCTGAAATCACTTTCCATTTGCCCCAAGGGTGTGTTCACTCTCAGACCTGCCTGGGGACCTCAGTGCCACATACTGTGCCAGATCCAGAGAACCCAAAGGAACGCACAGCCTTGTGATAGAAATATCCAAAATAAACTGATGAATGTGAGAGTGGCCATGCATCAGGGAAGTAATATGCACTAAGAAGCAATCATTTTGTCAGATATTTTACATCAGCTGTTTTACTTAATTTTTCCAACATTTCTGTAAGGAAAGTGTTGCCCACTCTATACAGCTGAGCACACCAAACATTTTACTCTAGTTTATGAGCTAGAAACAAATTATGTCAAGTTGATCTAACTCCAAAATCCATACTCTTTCCACATAGCATCCTGACCTAATGGGGAAGGTCAGAGACCACTGTCAGGGAGAAATCTGAGATTGCCAGCATAGGAATATGTGATGCTTTTGAAAAAGCAGAAAGAAAAGCAGATTTGAAGGGAGGCTGATAAGATCAACTCAAGAGCTGTTGAGTTTGAGATGTCTGTGGGATACTCAACATAGCAAGACCAGCAGCAGGTAGTTAGGAATTCCAAGGAAAGTTCAAGCGTGGAGCTATGGGTATAGGAGTTACTACGCTGTGGGCAACAATTAATCATAGACTGTATGAGTAATGGAGATCACTTAGAAGATCTCAGGTGAGAAGAGGGTGGGGCACAGAACCTGTGGAATACCTAGGGAGGATGAGAAGCCAGTAAAAGGTTTAAAACAAGATCAAAAGAATGACAAGAATATGAAGAAAGAATTGGGAGACCAGAGGCCAAAGAAAAAGAGAATTATATGAGAGGGAGATTCTTACCAGGGGTATAAATAATATAGAAGGCACTTAAGTGTGTTCAAGGAGTCATTAATGTGCTCAAATATTAATTGAGCTTCTACCTACACCAAGCTGCAAGGGCAGTGGTGGTGAACCTATGGCATTTATGCTACAGCAGGGTGTTTGTATCATTGAAAGCTCTAAGAGATTGGCGATCACTGGGCCAGGAATGCAGCACAGATCAAAATGGCTCATGAAGTTTAGTACCCAGTGGTGAAGGTAGAAACTAGCAATATAAACAATATCATTTTTAAAAGTATGGTGCATAAGTCTTCTGGAGTAGAGGACATGTGATTGAACTAAAAGGGTAGAGAGTCAAGGGCAGTGGTGGAAAACCTATGGCAGTGTGCCATAGCAGTCTATTATCACTGAAAGCTCTAAAGCACTTGCCATCACTGGCCTAGGGATTGTTATTCAAGCTGGAGTGCCATGAAAGCTCTCGGTGAGTGGGTTACATTTGAGATTTGACTAGTGTATGTACTTGAGATGAGGTTGTCAAGCATCATATGAAAAACCTGAAGGTAGGAGACATTTAATATACTAGAGAAACTCCTAGGAGGTCAGTGTGGCTAGAATGCAGTGAGCCAGAGAGCTAGCATTGAGACATGAGATCAGAAAGGTGACAAGGACAGAGCAGAAACCTTCTTTGTAGGCCATGGTAAAGATTTGGGGCTATATTCTAAGTGTTAGGAAAGTCATAGACAATTTGAGGTAGAAGAGTAGGGATCAGAATTAACAGGGCATCTAGCTGCCATGTGGAACTTAGTCTGAGTGGGAACCAGTGTGGAAGCAGGTACACATGTTAGGAGGACATAGTAGCTGTCCCACCACACAAAGAGAAGGAAACTTACCACTTTATGATGACCACTCTAGATTTTCTGTAGTTCAGGCTGTGCCTGATTCTACTTTTTTAGGTGCCGTATCTGTCATCCTACAGCACTTTTTGTATCTTACTAGAAGTATTTGCTCACTGTGGTACCTTCTTAAGTAGACTGGGAGCTCCTTAAAGGGAGGGGTTCTGTCTATTTGTTTCATGTGCTATGATTCTTCTCCCATGATGACAAGCTCATAACAGGAGCTCAGTAGATATGTTCACAACAGGTACTCCACAGATGTCTGTTGAGTGACAGGTGAATGACATCTTTTCTGAAGGCATAGGAAGGTTGAATCCAGAATTCATGGAATTATTATTCCATATATTTGGCTATCACTGACACCTAGTTTCTATTGCAGGAGAATTTGAAACCTGCACTATCCTTTTCAGTGATGTGGTGACATTTACTAACATCTGTGCTTCCTGTGAACCGATTCAAATAGTGAATATGCTGAATTCAATGTTCTCTAAGTTTGACAGATTGACTGGTGTCCATGAGGTCTACAAAGTAAGTATCTGTGTACTGTGATATGTTCCAGGATTCAAGTAGAACTTGGTTCAGAGCTCTTTATTTGCACTAGTCAGGGGTGTGGTGTTGGGAGTGGGGTGCAGAAAGAGCCAAAGGAATTAAATACCTAGGATAAGTAATGATGCTGATCCTCAGCATCATTAACTAACTAGTTAACTAGCTAACTAACTAAATGGAGAAAGACATCTTGGCTCTCTCATTGTTTCCAGAATCATGCTCCTTTTTACTTCTTCCCTCATGCTCTTCACACCTCTAGCGAAGTATCCCCGGATTCTTTAATATGCCACTTTTGTCAATATGTAAACTAGCAAGCATATTTAGTATGGGGGTTAGTGCACAAAGGAAATTTCCTGAACACCATTTTTTCCTGGCAGGTGGAAACTATAGGTGATTCCTATATGGTAGTAGGTGGTGTTCCAGTGCCTGTTAGAAGCCATGCTGAAAGAGTAGCTAATTTTGCCTTGGGGATGAGAATTTCTGCAAAAGAAGTGATGAATCCTGTTACTGGAGAACCCATCCAGGTAGGCAGCAAATGAGTAATTTGCCTAATCCCAAATATTTCACAAGCAAAAGTAGAGTTCTAGTCTGGTTAGGAGGTTGCTTAGTATGTTGCCACAATTAAAATGCCTGATTTTTGTAATTCTTTTCCTTTCTTGCTTATGTTCCTAAGAAATACAGATATTAAGAATGATAATGCAGTCTCAGCTTCTCTTACATTTCAGAAAAGGTTGTGGTGCCAGAAGTTTTCCCATGATTTACTGCAACCTTCTTTTGACATAATTTAGGGTGGTGCTGAATATCTCTATTAACACTATAGGGTGCAATCCATCCTGCAACTCAGCCCTTTTGTAATTACTGCTTTTTCATTTAAAAATTGCAACAGGTGGTTCAGGTTTACTGAATAGTCAAATTTTCTCACTCAGAAAGTCATGTATCCAACAAGCCATCTGACAGTTCAGAGCTCAGAGTGAGGTGTGAAGCTGGCTTTCCTGTGCAGTCCGGCCATCATGGTATTCAGAACAACTTTCCTTTTTTCACTTGCCCCTCAATGAGAGATCTGCTTAGGAAGCTGTTCTTCAGAGCAGGGAAGTTTGTTCACATGATGAAACTTTCACTGGCTGGTGATGGCAAGCGAATGTCCTCTTTGCCAGCTCAGCAGATCCTGATCCCCCTCCCCCACATCCCCAGATGACTTGGAATTCTGTCTCTCAGCCTTTTTACATCCAGTTGCAACCTCATCTCCTTTCAGTCAAAAGTTCCAAATAAACTTAATAGCCTACTAAAAAAATACAACTAATCATAAAGTGGAATACAATTTTTCCAAGTTATAATCCTTTGCAGGATATACTGGAAATACATTCTATTTACTCTCACCAGGATCATTTGGAAATTTTTTTGAGGAAATGCTTCTGCTGTAGCTGAATATCATAAGGAGTGAAAATTTTCTACCTCACATTATATATGAAAAATAACTTGAATATGTAACATGGATCTAATCATAAAATGTAGATTCATAAAACTTCTTGATGGAAGCAGAGGAGATAGTTTTATGGCTTTTGGGCAGACCGTGGCTTCTTAGTACACAGGATATTAATCACACAAGGAAAATACTTGTTATGTTTTATTGTTGTGGGTTGAGTTGTGTCCCTCAAAATCCATATGTTGGAGCCTAAGTCCTTAGTATTTCAGAATTTCCAGTTTTAGGTATTTACTTAAGCAAAATGAAAGTCTATATCCACAAAAATACCCATACAGAAATGTTCACAATAGCCTTACTTAAAATAGCATTGATCTATTGATCTATTGATCTAGTTACAGAAAGAATGAATAAATCAATCATTGTATAATCTCACTTTTCAGCAATAAAAATAATGAATTACTGATCAAATAGCAATATTAGGGACTCTCAAAAACATTATATTGAGTCAATGAGGCAACTAAAATGCTACATGCTGTATGATTTCCTATGTGTGCAGTTCTACAACAGGCAAAATAATCTTTGGTATAAGAAGTTAGAAAGTGGTTGCCTCTGTTGGGGAAGGACAAGGGAGAGTTTAACTGGAAAAACATATAAACTAGTTGGAAGATAGTGCAACTATTGTACATTTCATTTTGGATGGTGGTTATAATGCTATACGCAGTTGTCCAAAGTCATAGAGCGAAACACTTTAATATCTGTGGTCTGTTAATGCTTTAATTTAAAAGTAGAAGCAAAAGGATTCGATGATACCTTTTCAGTCAGGTTCTCTCTGCACAGATTAGAATTGGCATCCATACTGGCCCAGTCTTAGCTGGTATTGTGGGAGACAAGATGCCCAGGTACTGCTTGTTTGGTGACACTGTGAACACAGCCTCCAGGATGGAAAGTCATGGACTTCCCAACAAAGTACACCTCAGTTCCACATCCTACAGGTAGGCGTTCATTTATTTATGCCTTCCTTTGCCCATCCCCCTTCCAGAATTTACAGTAAGACTAGTAGCCATTGGATGGGGTGAGTGGAAAAAACAGGACTTTTTCCCCACACTTTACTAGGTTAGAAAACGCAGCACACATTGTTGAGCCCCTACTACCACGTCTTACTCTTACTGTTGAGAAGCATATGGTTTAGTGCAGAGAACAGCAAATTACAACCCGCAGCACAAATCCAAGCTTCAACATCATTTTCTAGATAAAGTTGGAACACAAGCCGAATGCCTTTATTTACATACTGTCTATGAGTGTTGTCATGATACAATCACAGAATTGAATAACTGTGCAAGCCTCTCTGGCCTATAAAGCCTGAAAATATTTATTATCTGGTGTTTTCTAGAAAACTATGCACCTGATCTAGTGGAGAAAACAACATTCATATTTAATTATTTTTAAAATGGGATAAGTTCAAAGGTAAAGATATAAAACAACACTCACAATTTCTTGAGTACTTCTAATAGGCACACATGGTTCTACATTCCTTTACACATGCTTATTGATCTCCCATTGAAATAATTCCATAAAAATATATCACTATTATTCTTATTTATAGGTAAGAAAAAATAAGGCTAATAACTCACATCAGATCCAGGTAAATCAGGAATGAGGAAACCCAGGGATTGGGGCTCAGATTCTTAACCCTTTACTTTGCCATCTGCAGGAATTAGTATGTGTCAGAGGAGCCCAGGGGAAGGGACCTGATCCTGGAAAGAAGATTTTTCAGTGGAGCAGATGTCCTAGCTGAGTCTGGGACAAGGAGTTCCAGAGTAGGATTTAGACACAATTTGTGTTCTGAGAGTGAAAGCTAAGCAGTACAGTAGAAATGAGGGGCTGCATATATGGGAACCCTGGAGACAGGAACTTTGGTCATGTGGCCAACTGGATTTGGGGAGATCCCCTGGGCTTCCCTCGGCCTTTGCATCCTGCTCAGAATACCTGACATTCATTCTTCCTTCTCTCCCTCACTCCCTTTGCCCCTGTCTTCAGGCCCCTGATGATGCTTTGTGTCCTTCCCACTGCTGGGCGTCTGTTTCTGACTTTTGCTTGTGTATGCTGCTCATGGTAACCAGCTATGTGATCTGTGATACTTGATGCCTCGTTTTCTTTTCGCAGAGCCTTGGAAAATCAAGGGTTTGAAATCATTGAGAGAGGTGAAATTGAAGTGAAAGGAAAAGGGAAAATGACCACGTACTTTCTGATCCGGAACTTAAATGCCACAGAGGACGAGCTCATGGGAAGATGTAAAATTCCATTTGATCACAAGGGTAAGCCACAAAGAGACAACGTTTCTCTAGTGTTGGTCTTTTTTCCATTAAGTACTTCAGCTATGACCTCTGTCTGCAGGGTGAACATGGGTAGCACTTCACCACCACAGTGCACTTGGGTGGCTGAAGCTCCTGGTCAGCCCACCCACTATGTCCCAAGAACTCTCCTCTGATGCTACTTGAGCTGGGTCAATGGGTTCAGAAGGTCTCAGCTATGTTTGCTTTCAAGATTCTTCTCTGTACTAGCAAGGGGCTTTCCCACTAGCATTTCTGTGACTGGAGAATGATTTTAGAGTGTTCTCTCTCCTCCGCTGTCCTACACAAAGCTCCTGAGTGCAGTTTCCTTGCATATGGGAAGCGTCTTTCAATTTATTCATTTCTTTTTAATAGACAGGGTCTCACTTTATAATTCAGGATGCCCCTGAACTGTCTGTGTAGTCCCAGCTGGCCTTGAACTCTTGGCTAACCTCTTGCCCAAGCTTTCCAAGTACTGGAATTACAAATGTGTACCACCATGCGTGCCCTGAAAGCTTCTTCCTTCTTCATTTTTTTTATTTGTAAAACTTGGGAGAAGGGCAAAACCTGTAGCTTGCTAAGCTCCAGAAATGACAAAATGATGGAAGTTTAGGGTAAAATAACTCAGTGCTCAGCTGGACCAAGGATCACCATTTGTCCTATGGTATCCAAAGAGAAGGTAAAATCCAAAAATGAAGTCTCCACCAGGTGCAAGTTCAAAAAAGTTGACAGACTCTCCAACAATATTGGCCTTGAGAACTTTTATCCATATGAAGAAGTGAATCCTGGGGTGAGGTGAGGAGGTGCTGGGTTTCTATGGACACCTTCAAAGATGAATTCTTAAGTGGCTCCTCATTAGACTGCTCAGAACTCCATTAGCTTCAGGAAAGTGAGTGAGTTTGTTTTTCAGACTCTTCCTGAACAAGGTCCCACCACCAGGAGCCAACAAGACTGGACAGGACTAGACATCTCATTTAGAGGCAGGAGTCAGAACTCAGCTGAGCCACAAATTAGTACCTCTTCTAACAGTTACTTTCCTGAACAAAAAACAACAGCAAAAACTAGGAAAGGGGAAACTGAGTCTATCTCAGTTTGGGGAAAACTGAAAGTGTGGTGAACAGGCATTTGTTGAAGAACTAGTCTGTGGCAGCATTTTCCTCACATTGTCTCAGCTGTCCCAACAGTTACACAAGAGTCAAATAATATTACCAAATAATTACCACTCCCTCAACAGAGCCAAGAAACTTGAATTCAGAAAGCCTGTGTGATTTATATAAGGTCTCACAATTAGAACATGGAAGGAGTAGGATTTAAGCTTCAGGCTAGTAGCCTTGGGCAGGCCATAACCACATAAGCCAACGTTCAGTAAAAGATTAGGACAATTCTGCAACTGTCCTAATGGAAGGTTGACAAACTTGGATGTCTTGGCTTTGCCATGGCTCAGCTATATTTCTCTGGTTCCTCAGGGCCCACCTGACCAGATTTCTGATCACTGGTGACTCCTGGTGACTAGTAGGAGTGCCAGTGATAAATCACTTGCACACTATCAGTGAACGAAAAACCATCAGGTATTTGTGATAGGCTTGGAGAAATAAGCATGCAGCCAACTGGGCCACAGAACTCAAAACCGCTGAAGCCCAGACCTTTGCACAGTTTTCCAAGGTAGTGTGAATTGGTGTTTCCTGACAGTTCACACTACTTATCTTTCCTGATGGGCAACAGATGTTGCATGTCACTTTGCAGGCCTCATGTCTTCTACTCACAGCATCTGTTCTTCATCCTGCTAGCTCCCATGGGTTTGCAGGCCCAGCTTAGCTCAGAGGTGGAGAGGGCCACTAAAGGGTCACTGGGGAGCCTCCACCCCAGTTCTATGTGTGTATCATGACATTTCCATCAGTAGCTGAAGCCTGTCAGGGCTGTGGAGTTAACCATGTGTGGATTTTCACTACATCAGTGATTTGTTTGCTTCTCAGTCTCAGATAGTTCGACAGACATTCGGGACCCACCTCACTGATAACATCTGCCACTCATTTCAGTCAATTGTCACCACAGTGGCTCTGGGTAGCATGCCATTTTTATCTGGTTTGGCTCCTAAATGTGGAATGTCAGTAATCCTCTGCCCCCTCTCTGCCTTCTTTAGGAACTATTGTTTCTGACAAATTATCTCAGGCCCTGGCAGCATAGGAGATACCATGCAGATGATGCCTCTCTGAGGACCAGCTAAGGCATGGATCTCATCCCTTCTTTCAGCCTTCTTTAAAAGGAGGTCTTTCTGAACCTCTGGAGGCCAAGCTACCTTACATCATAGCAAAAGAGAATACTAGATAGGACCCTGTCCTGAGGACTGCACACAGTACCCCATTTGCACCTCAATAACCCTCTTTTTCTTCACATCACTATATAGATGTATTGGTGGAGAGACTCCTCAGTGCAATAAATGGGACTACTGAATCACAGAAAAATCAATTTATATTGACTTAGATATTAAGCAATCACTTTTCAGTATTAACTAAAAATTGTCATTCTACCTGTCTCTGATGGCAGACTCTTATGGAATCTCATCAGGTCCCTGTTAAGATGTTTTTCATATTTCAGCTTGCTTCAGCTTGTGTAAGTAATTTTCCTGATGATAAGGCTAGTGGTTTCCAGGCTGACCTGCACACACCACCTAGGCAAGTAACCCAGACCCTTCTCTGGAGATGATCTCCTTAGAAGCTACAGTCAGAGGGTGACCCTTTGCTGGGTTTATGGCAGGTTTCATCAGCTTAGGAAACTTCTTAAACCAAGTCTTAATTGTTCCTCTGTAGAGTTTTAGTGGTGAGGGTCTGTTTCCTGGTAGACTTTAGGGTTTAGCGGTCTGCCTGCTGGAGAGTTGCTGATTTATTTCAAATCTGACTCACTATTCCAAATAGGAAGAGCCTTCCCTCCATTTTCAGTCTCTCTATTGGGTTATTCTTCAATGAGTTTGTGGTCATTTAATTGCCAGGCTCCTTGCCCCTTACTTTATGTAGTGCTAACAATACATGTTTCCAGACATGTCCAATTAGACATGGTCCAGCTGGTTTGGAGCTAGCTGCCGAGAAATGCTAGCTGGGTCCTTATTTTCAGCTCAGAAGCCTTTCAGCAGCCTTTCTGAGGCTTTTCTAAGCATGGTTCTCGAATTGTCCTGACCTTTCTGACATAGCTGTTTTTAACCTTGGGCTTTCTAGCGGTTAGCCTGTTAACCAAGTAAGGTTCTATAGAAGGAGGATTCTGGAAGGTATAAATGGATTCTTTACAAGTAATGTTACTAATAAGAATTGTACAATTTTCAGTAGTTAGCACTATCCTCGAAAGTCACTTATTGTCACACTGAGTACCACAGGCAGGGATGTCACATTAGAACTGATGGGTAGAGGTGGCAGTGAGTGTGGGGTAACAGATTATTTTGGAACTTGTGGATGGTATAGATGGTGGGATCTCATCCCCTGGTGCTTCAGGAGATCCAGAGTGGGGACCATGACTGGTTTGTTAAGAAACTGGTTTGTTGAGGAACTACCATCATGATAGAAAGAGAATTAGATTAAAATCAGAAATCCTAGGGCTAGGTCCAGATCCACAGTAAGTCTCCTAATTCATGTTTCTAAACCTGGAGGCAGAGGTGATGGGAAGCCTGCATCACAAAGTTACTTGTTGGAAGTTAATGACAGAGAAGTTATCACCAAACCTGCAGTGTGTTTGAGACACTTCAGCTGCTTAATTACTTGGGAACCCAACTGCTGGGAGTTCATTCAGAAGTAAATATGTGGGTCTTAGCAAAAAGCTATAAGTCATCCAGGGACTTAGAAAACTGACCTGCTGTACGCAGGGAGCTTCAGAAGAGTAATATAGACAGATCTGGACTCAGACATCAGGATCCCAGCCTTTCATAGAGTAGCCAGGATTAACAGTGAGCACACATGAAGTCCGTATTGAGGACTCAGAGGAGGTGCAGATGATGGCAGAAATGGGTATAGGCAAGAGCCTGCTCTGATCACGGGAGAACACAGAGGCTTCTGGTAGCTGGAGCCCCATTTACTTCATGGCATGGCCTGAGCAGTCCACTGAGAGACAAAAGGGCAAGTCGTGGCAAATCATAAATGGCAGCCCTTGCCCACATGCTGGAGATGCTATTACACCTTTCATATCAAGCTTAGAATTCTCCTCTCACTGATAGAACTGCCTTTCAAACATTTAATTTCTGGATTTTATGGATCTTTTTTCTTCTTATACTGCTAATATGGCTCATCTATCCTTCCACCAGAGCAGGAGGATGCCCTAAAATCTAAGTAGAAATAAATGAGAAGAAAGAAAGTAGAGCCCACACAGAGTAAAGGCCAGGCCAGGGTAGAGGTCCAGGAGACTGGACAGGCTCTATACCACCAAGTACCAGAGTAAGACGAAGCTGCTGATGGGGAGCAGGCATGATAGACAATGTCTTGGAGACAATAGAAAAGTTTGACTTCAAGCTCAGACTAAACTATCTGCCCTGCTCATGGAGAATCAGTGCTGAAACCCTTCTTAAAATGTCAGAATACCTTCTTGTAAACCCATGTCACATCCCATATGATTCATAGAGGCCTTTAATAACCAGGCAATGATCCGAACTATGCCTGTATTCCCCAGAGCAACAGTGTTCCCCCCAAATCCATACTACTCTCACTGCAAACACTTCGGCACCCTTTGTAACCCCAAGTTCACAAGTGACAATGTGGTTCATTCAATGGATGTTTTCTAAATGAGAAGATGCTTTCTGCAACCTGTTCTTAATATATTTTGAGATGGGTTTTGTGCTACGTTTAATACTGGACAGTGTGGTTTGTCTTATTTACATGAGATAAGAAAAATACAATTTATATGAGAAGGAATTTAAAAAAAAATTTTTTTGAAAATCAGATAGTACAGATAAACCAAAAAAAGATAACAAAAGTACCTATAATCTCAATGCCTAATGATACTGCTAGTAAAACTTGAGCACATACCTTTCCCTCTTGTGTAAGGGGCCCCCTGTACTTATAATTATTATGTTTTTTCCTTATGACATTAAAACAAAACTGAATCCAAACCTTTCAAGCAGACTGTACTTAGCATTTAACCTGTATGTTTCAACTGGAAAACAGAATACTTTTCAAATTTAGAATAATACTTACATCTCAAAGAAATTTAATATTGCAATAAGCTCCATAATTCAAAACAGAGAAAAGAACATTGGAAATAATACGCTTAGTAGGGAATTAGCAAAAATACATACATACTCACATACATACAAAAACTCTCGTATCTGAGTATTTAACAATTTTGGGTGGGATGGGGAATATGCTACAACTAGCAAGTGAACCTATAACCATGGCATCTACACTTAGCCAGCTCCAGTTTGGTTAGCCCTTTAAAAAATGCCACATTTGAGTTTAAATGTACTTTGATTCCTTGTCAACTCAGCCTCAGTTTATGCATGAGCTAAACATTCCTCCTGACCCATTTGGCAGAGCTGCCTCAAGAACATTGCTCAGGTGTCCCCGGGGCCCCTTCTCCCCTTCTTTGTTCCAGGCTCCTCTCCTCGCTGTTCCCTTCTTCTGGGCCTGAGGCTGACGTGAGACAGAGGACAGGTCCAGCAGCTCCCTTTTCCACGTGCATGCCATCCCTTCCATTCATGAATGACCAGTACATTAGCAAGTGGAGATTGTACTGAAAACTACCCATTACTCTTAGGATCTTACAGCAAAACTGATTATTGACCCAGGTTCAGGAAGAAGCCTGGCATGCTAATAAGCCTGAATGGTGCAAAATGCCCATGCATTATTTAATCTATTAATGAAGGGAAACCTGAAGTTAGAAGCCCCTCTCGCTTGAACGCTTTCCAGAACACTAACAGAGTACTTCTGCACTTGAGTTCTCTGGAACAATGATTAGTTCAAAAAGGAAATGGGATGATATATGACTTTAAAATCTCAGAAGCTGATCTTTCCAAATAAAACCGCAGGGCCAGCAGGAGGGGATAGAGACAGAGTCCCTCAGCCAGCCTCTGGTGTCCATCCCTCTCTGACCTGCTCCCTCCCTCCTGTCTTGGCAGGTCACAGTCCCAGAACTCTTTCCCTGTAACCTCCTCTTTGAGCTCCCCACATAATTAGAAAGACTAACTGGCATCTTGGAGTTTGTACTTTGTATGGGGCATCGTGTTAACCATTTGACATAAATCATCTAGTTATTAGTTCCCATTTTAGAGATGAGGAATAATGAGGTCCAGAGCAGTTATCTTATTTACAGTCACAAGGCAAGCAGAGCTTACCACCAAGATAGAGCACCACGTCTACATCTTAGCCTGTGTGGAGTTGCTGCGCAGAACTCAGACACAGTCACAGGCCAGCAGGATGGAGGCTTAGTGCTGCTATATAGTTTATAGAAGTAAAGATTTGAGGTGTGACAACAAGACGACATGGTGTAGCCCAAGAGAAATTATAGAGCCTGGTGCGTTGTGGGTATGAAGACACTGGCCTGTCCAGGATTGTGCTGAGGTAGGAAAGGTAGGCTGTGTTTACTCTGCTGGCAGGTGGCTGAGGAGGACCCATGAGTGGAGTCCTACAGAAGCTTGATTCATTGTTCACCTCTCTGTCTCCTTCCAGCTTCTCAGGAAGCCACACTCACCAAGCCTGCAAAAGGACCGGGCCCTGTGGAGTCAGCAGACCAACAATCGGCTTCAGATGAGACCCAGACACGTCCTTTTCCCAGTGACTCTGTGCCATCTGCTTTCTGTGTTTTATTGTAACAGAGCAAGAAATGAACCCCTGGGATTTGTTTCCCCATTTAGTCATATGGAGGCAAAGAAAAGTAACTTCATTTCTTACCCCAAAACTTCTTAAACTGTGTCTTTCCCTCATCATTTTTTGGAGAATGAAAGTCTAGAGATGAAATACAATCCTGACAAGTTGGGAAAAATGTGCTTTGACATTCTTTGTTTAGAGCCAACCCTGAACCTTGAGCCTGGGTCATTTGTTCTCAGATGCGGTGACTTCAGCTGTGGGCTATTTTGTTTGTTTCAGACAGGATAGCTTCACTGCCCACAGCTCCTGGAGCCTCAGCCTTGAATAGGTACCCTAAGGACCAACTTCACTTTGAAGACACCTTGACTTCGGAGCTCATGTGTGCAGTCCCTTGTTCTGAATGGTCAGAGAATGGGAAAGAGGAAGAGAAAGAATTAGAGGAAAGAGACCCAGACTCTGTGGTTTATAAATCATCCTCTAAGATGCTGAGATGTAAAAGGCACTCAGCCAGGGGTTGTGAAAGAAAGTCACTTTCTTTCCCAGTCCTGGGAATGATGTGAAGCAACAGAACAAAAGCTGCATTCCCCCAAGATTTTCTCAAAGCAAAATGGAGGGGGAAATGTGAAAATCACTGAAAGGGTAGAGCTAGTAAAGATATGGAGATGAGAGAGTGCGGCCAGATACATGGGCCCCTTAGCCAGTGGCTTCTCTGATGCTGCTGGCTATAGATGTAGAAACTTTGTCCTCTGCAAAGGAAGTTGCTGGTGGGGAATGATCTCAGTGCCTCCCCCAGTTGAGGATCCAGGGGCAGGGATGGGGAATGGGTGCAGAAGTGGGTCACTCATCTACATTTGTGATGGCGAGAAATAGTTTTCTGGATCTAGATAATTAAGACAGTCTCAGGGGTACACATGAAGTGGATCCAGTGCTTGCCTCATACTTGGTTACACCCTCAGCAACAACTTACTAATTATAAAAATCCCAGGAAAAGGGAGTAGGTAGCCTGGATAAGGTATGAGAGACGAAAGAGGGTCACCACTTGACACGTGCTTTTTGGATGCTTTTGCTGCTTTCTACCTGCCACGAACTGGCTACCCTCTGTGATGCCCCTCTGCCGTGTGCTACCCTGCCTTGGAGTCAACCAACTGTGTGGGCTGAAACCTCAGTAAACTATGACCTAAATAAACCTCTCCTCCTTTAACTCTAGATGTTGGGTATTTTGTCTCAGCAATGAGAAAAGGTAACTAAAACATCTCATTAAGAGAGGAGGACAGCTTGAAGGTATGAACCCAGGCACCAGATAGCCTGGCTTTACCACTCACTGGTTGTGCGATTTTGGCCAAGTGACATAACACCTCCTTAACTCCTTATTTCAGTATACCTTTTGCAAATGCAGATAATCAGCAGATCTGCGTTTACAGAGTTGTCATGAGGGTTACATTAAATATATGCAAAGTACTTAGAGAAGTTTCTGACACTACTTAAGTCCTGTCTAAATGCCTGCATCTTTTATTTTTTAAAATGCTTCCACGAAGTGATGAATGTCTTTGCTTAAGTGAGGGTAAGGAGAGGAGCTCATATATCTTGTTACTGTTCTTATATGCTTTCCTGCAAAATCCCTAGCTCAGCTGTGACTGAGAACCCCACCTAGAATGAGGGCACTATTAGGTGGCAGCGGCATTGCCAGGGAGAACAAAAAGAAAGCAGTTACCTGTTGGGGAGGCGCCTCTTTCCTTTATTTATGTTGGAGAAAAGCTGGGCCCAGCTGGCAGCTTGCTTTGTTTCTGTGGCCCCTACAGAGCATGTCAGTTTAATCTTCAGTTATGTCTGAGACTGCCAGAATTGGGAAGCAGGTGCCTTGATCTTGGCTGAAAAGGGAGAGAATTTTGCTCAATATTTATTATGATTTAAAAAATTGTTTCTGGCTCCAAATGAATGACCACGTATCTCTACATCTGATGTCACCTTGGAGCATACTATTTCTTCTTTCGACTAAACACTGCTGGAGACAAACTTCAGGTGCCCAGGAAATCTAGCCAACCTGATGAAGTGCTCTTTGGGCCCTGGCACTCCCAAGTGTTCCTTCATTCTTTCTTGTATCCATTTCTTGGGGTCTGAGGAGGATTTTTTAGCCCTCTATGCCCAAGTAAGTTGTGTATACATTCACTCAGAGGGCAGGTTTACTTGTTTACTCGTGACTGTGAATATCTGCAAATACTGTGCTCAAATACTGGAATCTAATGGTCTGACTGATGTCCATCAGCCAACATCTGGCTTTCACCCAAGATAACAAACTTGTTATGGGAGTGCTCCATTGAGTGAACAGTATTTCTCCATGCTGAGACCCCGCTAAGCTGCAGAAACTTGGGAGGAGGGGAGCCATCCCACACCTACAAACTGATGGGTTCTCTGTACTCCAGATGCCTGTGTTGCTCCAGCCTCCTCAAGCTCTATCTCAGAGCCCTACCTGTTTGGGGTATAGTATGTTCAGATCAAAGCAGATGGCTGAACCACAGGCCAAGGACCAACAAACTTACTGGACCCCAGCCACAGAGGAAGTCAGACACTTGTTTTAGTTATAACTTGAAAACATTACCCACCATCCCTCCTCAGATGGGCACAGAGCCAGCACCTATCCACTTCTTATGCCAAGCCTTCAGTGCAACATTGGATCTTGGAGGTCAAGGTCGTGGGCGTGGATTGAGGGGTTAACAAAGCACTGGGTGCCCTTTCTGCCTGTGTTTCCCCTTCAGCATACTTTCTCCTTTGTGGCCATCTGAAACCAGTTCTTCAATTCTGGAGGCCTGGTGTCTCACCCCTGCACTGGGCTAAGACTTGCTCATTCTTTACAACCACCCAGTGCCTCCCCGCTACACTCTCTCTCTTTTCCAACTTTCCTTCAGCTTAAGTTGTGTGTGAGAGAAAGAAGGCGGATTGGTGGCTGGTTGAGGAATGAGATCATTTCTCTCCCCTCTTAGCAGCTTGCTGTCTGCTAGCCAGGGCGAGGGAAAGCAACAGGGAAAGTGTGCTCTCTGAGGAGAGCCATCTGGCTCCAACAGACTCACTTGGTTGCTAATCTGTGCGTGTCTTTTTCTTTATTCTCTTTTCTTGTTTGTTCCCAAGGAACACTTCATCTGCAGCTGTAAATTTAGACCTGGTGCATGTGAAGGCGAGCCTTCATTTAGCATACATGTTTATTCCTGCATTATGCCCTCCGCCCCTCCCCCGTTCCTCTTGTAGGTGTCAGGAAGCCATTGTTTTCCTCGGTGGGTCTATGTGGATTTAATGTCAGAGCTGTACTTTCAAATGGAAATCAGGCAATTATGCTCCACATGGAGAAATCTGACAGATGCAGAGGTTTTACACCACTGGTCGTGTCTAGGGGACAAAGGCGCCTGGTGCTCCTAAGGGACTGTTAAATAAATAGAATATGTTTTAAGGGCACAGAAAAATTCAGAAATAATGAACTGTGTGATGAGAGTTCATAGATCCTGTGGCTCTTTAGCTTCAAAATGTGATAATGATATGTCAACCAACTGCTTAGTGCATCTTTGGAAAGGCGGCATTAGCAAGCTGATTGCAATGTGCATCGAACCAGAGGCAGGGACTGCTCTGTGCATCTGCTTTCTGGGTTCCAAGTGAAAGCTCTGGAGGATTTTAACTTGTTCTGTTTTCTCCTCTCAGGGGGCTCTGTTTGGAGTGAGGAGAGGAGGGGATGGTGGCAGTTGGATGTTTACTGATGGACCAGCTTCGTGTCTACATTCAGTGGTGTCTGGTATCTGTAGATGAGTGTTGTGTAATACCACCCAGGGATTTATGCTGAAAAATATGGTGACAATATCATTGTGGCTTTTTTTTGGTGTGTGTGTGTGGGGTGGAGGATGCAACCCAGAGCCTTGAGCATAACAAGCCAGTGTTCTGTCACTCAACTGCACCCTCTAGCTGCTCATTGTAGTTGCTATCAACTGATAGCTCATTATGCACCAATCACCCAGCTAAGTGCTCACCACCCTGGCCTCCTGCAGGTGTGGGAAAGGAGCTCTTCTTATCCATGTTTCACAGGGAGTAAACTGAGATGTTTGGCTAAAGGGAAGAATTTCCCTTCAGACTCAGCCCTGCCCAACTCTGATTTAGCTGTCAGCCTCTGGCTTGAGCCCTCTCCAATGTTTCAACAGATAGCAGGAAAAAAGACACACTCACTTCTGCACCCTTTATGAAGCACTCTCACGGCAGGCATATATTGTTAGAGAGACTGGGCAGGAGAGAAATAAAAGTTCAGCTTATTTTTCCCCTAAAATACCTAGCTATTTAAACAACTAATGACTTTGGAACCTGGAAGATACAGTAAGAATCATCGTTGCATGTGTCTAAAATGGACTTCAAAGTGGGTTATTTTATGGTAATGCCTGCAACTCCTCAGCACTGCTATCTGCTGTCGTGGAGGAAATGGTAAGGGGCAGTATTCTACCTACCTGGTCTTCAGCAGTCCTTGAATTTCCACTGAGCAGCTGTTTTGGACTCCACCGCAGCTGAGGCCAATACGAAAGAAAGAAAGAAAGAAAGAAAGAAAGAAAGAAAGAAAGAAAGAAAGAAAGAAAGGGGGCTGGGGATTTAGCTCAGCGGCATAAGCACCTGTCTTGCAAGCAGGCAGTCATGAGTTCAATCCCTGGTACCGATAAAAAGCAAAAAAAAAAAAAAAAAAAAAAAAAAAAAAAAGAAAAGAAAGAACATATTAACCCTTAGAAGAAGTGTTTTTTAAACTAAGTATATGATGAAGAATATACAGAAAACAATAGGCAACTGGGCATGGTGTACATGCCGTTGATTCCAGTGCTCTGGGAAGCACACAGGAAGTCAGAGTTCTAGCTCAGCCTTAACAACTTGGTGACACCCTGTTTCAAAATGTGACAAGGAAGAAATAGAGCCTGTGGCTGGGGATGTAGTTCAGGTAGATACCCTGGGTCCAATCCCTAATACCACAAAATAAATAAACAGATACGTAAAACAGGTTTACATAAGAATCATGAATTCTTTCTCAGGTCAGTCTGTGCCGCATTGGAAATCTATGCGGCTCTGTTGAGCAAATGCGTCAATCAAACAAAGCTGGAGGTGTTCCCAGACAAAGCAGCTATTAACTTGCCAGTGACAAGAAAACATAAATCACACCCACAACATTCTTCCATCATGCCTTATTTTACTCTATTCAAGGGTGGAGAAACATTTAAGGAAATTGAAACCTTTCATATGATCAGCTTTGTCGTATGTTAGAAAAAAGAGTTTCTGTA